TAAAGTCGAAATTTTGACTTTTAAAGTCGAAATTTTGACTTTTAAAAGTCGAAATTTTGACTTTTAAAGTCGAAATTTTGACTTTCTGTAGGCTTTTTTTTTTTTTTACATGGCGGAAACGGGCTTCCATAATTAGCACCTTTAACGGAAGTGACACAATCAAAAACCACAGAATGTGCAAATAAAGTCAGCGACATACTGGGCTTTAGAACAAGGTCTATATTGGCTGAGCTGAAGTTGGATGGATGACTCAGTGAACTTGTGTTTATGATCTCCAAGACTACTTTGGGTTAGCAAGGCAGAGACCACATAAAATGACACTGAGGGCCGCATTTGGCCCCCGGGCCTGAGTTTGGACATGCCTTGCATAGTCACTCTCATTCTTTGAAAGGCACTATATAAATAAAGGTTACTTACTAACTGTATTCATAATTGAATGACTAAACATGTCTTAACAAGAAGTCTGGACACCACGTTAGTGGAGGAAAAGGGAATTTGTTAGTATGTATTTGTAGGTTTTTATAAATCAATGTTTATGCATAGAACAAAATTAGAGTTGATATTTAATTTAGTATTAGTGACATTTAGCGTTAGCTTAGTTTGCGTTGGTGAGTTTACCTGAAGAGCTAATCTGACGCTAGCATGTTAGCATGGGCCCCATTCATACAGACAGCAGGCAATCGGACCAGCAAGGACACAGCTACATGCAGACTCAAAAGTGAAATGTACTAAAACATATACAGTATGTATATTTAAGTCTGAGTTCATTCTGAAACCTGTTTGGCAGTCGGTCTCAAAATGTTTGGTGAAAAAAGCACATCCACAAATGACAAAGATGAACAAAGATTACATTTCTTGGCTGTGAAACAACTTCCAATTGGTGTCAGCACATAAAAAACATCTATTATAATAAAAAGGATATTCCTTTGGTTTTCTATTTGTTTCCTTACAATATTAGGCTGTTAGTGAAAAAGTAGTCCCAACATTTTTTGAGAAATATCTAGTGACCCTCCTTAAATACATGTTATCAATACCATTTTGTTTTTACTTTCTTTTGACCTTATTCCATTTCGATTGGTTGTAGATGTGTGTGATGTATATGTCCAAAACCATCATGACCAAATCATGATCTGACCACGAGTAGCCTGTAAGCTCTGAAACTCCCAAGAATATTTTCACTTCCCCCAAAAAAGTACTTTTCCATTCTCTGCATAGAAATCTGTTGACAGTCAAAACTTTTATTTTGGCGAGGCTTGTGTTGCCGGCAGGTGAAATGTCCACCCACGAACATCTGGATGGCTGTTTGCAGTTATATGTGGCAATCTACATCAATTTCTCTTCCAAAAACACAGCAATAACCACAGAGAGATATTCGGCTCACTGCAGGGAACATGTACGAACAGTTTGACAAATGAAACTAGAAACCAATGACAACCAAAACATTAACAGTTACTGCAAAATCCCATAACTGTCTCTGCAAATGAAAAAGATGAAGTTACATTATTTGGTATTGTGCTTTACTTGATATAACATACTGCTACAGGAGAACTATTCCCGTAAGGACTTGTATCTAAAATCCTATGCTCAATATTAGTGCCCTACATTTCTGTGGGGTCTTTGTATTTGGGTTGTAATTCCACAGCAAAGTAAAAATGCAATCACATATGTTCACATATTTTCATTTGTTTTCAAAAACTGTCTAAGTTCACCCAACACTCAGAGCTTTGAGTTTCCCTTGGACATGCAGCTGCAGTGTGGCATGCATCAACAACAGAGAAAGAGAGTGCGAGAGAGAGTGAGAGAGAGTGAGAGAGAAGGAGTCAGTGAAAGAGTCAGTGTTAGTTCTGACAACCTATTTTCGTCCAGTTTAAATCAAAATGTACCCAGATTTACTTTACTACTAGATACGCTAAAGTCAGCTTGAGTGAACATGAAACTCCTCTTTGTTCATGTAATTTCTTTGTGGGACATTCATGTGTTCTTAGGATTTCGGTTTAAATAAAATTGATTTCAGTGTTTAAATGAAAATATTTTTGTGTTCATTATTTAGGTGAAAACTTTTATTTTGAAGGTATTTAGGGAGATGTTTGTACCAATTCAAAAGGTAATGTGTACAAAAATAATTGGGGCCAACCATGTGTTCTCTTCTCTTCTCTTTTGCTACCCGGCCGCACACGCTCAGTGGCTTGTGGAGTCTGTTTATGTAGCCGGTTGGCACTTACGCCGAGTCTTTCTGATTTCATCAAAAATAGAAGAGCTGCAAAAGCAGCAAAAGTCTTGTTATTTTGCTGAGTAAATGGTGAAGAGAAGAGTGGACAGGCCAAACACTAGGCGAACTACAGGAGAGGATCATAATAAAACTAAGAGTGGCCCAGTGGAAAACACAATTCTTCCAGAGAGGCGGGACTTCCGTGATAAAACTACAGTAAATTCTATGCCGGTTAGGAAAAAGTAAATTGTAAATGCAAAGTAACACATTTCCATTAACTGACTTTCATGATTGCTTATTATTTTGTATTCCTATACATTTTTTATTTTGTTTTCTGAGCAGTTAGAGTTATAATTAGGGCTGGGCAATAAATCGAATTTAGGCAATTAATCGGCTTTTGAAAAAAATGTATTTGTGAAAAATTTGAAAATTGTGAAATCGAATGAAGGATATTGTGAGAGTTCCATCAGCACAGGAATTATACATAACAATATCAGCACAGTCTATGCAAGACTTGTATAATACTTATTGGGGGAAACAAATTAAACATAGTTTCTGAACTTTCATTTTAATCGGAAAGATCAAAAAATATCGTTCAAAGCAGGAAATAAAATTGAGATTTTACTTTTTTGCCATATCGCCCAGCCCTTGTTATAATACAAAGCATACATTATTATAGTATAATTTTCTTTCATTCATAATTAGTCTTTTAGTATTCTTTAAAAACAATATTGTCAGTTGACTGAGTGGCTAAGCTCTAGATTCTATTCAGCTTTTGTCAGTGTAAATATGACGTCGATAACCATGACATGTTTGTTGACAAAATTAACACTGAGAGTGCAGAGATTAACGCAGGAAGAGGGAGGACTGGACACTTACCCAAACCATGTGACAATACCGTATAAACAGTTAGGTGCATATTCTGAGCCAGCTTAGATGACAGTTGTAGCCTCTGTTGTGTTGGAGTGATCATATGGCCAGTAACATCCGAAAAGACACGTGTGTTAGCTGTAAAACTGTGGGAGGCTCGCTGAAGGAGACTTTCAAAGTTTTAGAGTTAACGTGAAACCTCTCAGTCTGGGTTTGCTCCACCATGCTTCAACTTTATTCTCCTTGCTTATAATTGTTGGAATGATTTGTAGCTTTGAAGTAAAGGGTGGACCACAAATTGCTGATCAGAAGTATGATTCTCTTCTATGTTGGTACTTCTACTTGATTCTGTTTGAGAATCAAGTAGAGTTTCTGTTTGAGTTTAGCTTTCAAATCTCACAGACTCTATCAGCCTGTCTAACACTGAAGCATTAATAATGTGTTTTGTTTATTGGAGCAATTACATTATTATTTGCATATAACAGGTCAATTTGCACTATGTATGAGCTCAAATGGATTAGGTGATGTAATTTTAATAACAATAGGCCTCAAAGTTTCTGAAGCACTGAAAATAAGGTATACATGACTGAAAAGCCTGTGTTCCGATGCAGGTAGTCCCCAATAACAGTAGTACTAGCAGCGTATTGTAATATTAAATATGTAAAATTCCATTGTGTATTAATCATTCATGAGATATCTGGGTTTTACAGCCAAATATAGATGTTGCTTGTCTATGGTAAAACACAGTCAAATGAAAGAAGTGCATATAAGGGTTATAGTTATACTCAATAATAGCAATGGTGTGTTTCAATATTAACTAATATATTGTACTTGTATGACTATTTGAGTGATGAAACTGAACAACTAGTCAGCAATCTGTGGTCAAAACTAGTTTGACTTTGGTTGACATTAGTCATAAGTCACACAAAGCCTTACAAACAGCTAGCACTCAAATTCAACGTGGAAATATCTTGATTCTTTCAAGGCTCTGGGTGGCTTGAAAACCTCCGCACACCAAAGCAAGTCCTTGAGCGCTGCTCCAAGGTCAGAGCCGACAACAACAACGAATAAAAGAATGCGAGATTAGGCTCAGCTGCGCTCTGCCCAAAGAAACGTGTCGCTTTGAAAAGATAATAACGGGGAAACAAAGACGGCTGGTTCATTTGCCGGTGGTTGTCGTCCTTGTGTGCGATTGAAGCATGGTGAGGCGAACCAGAGGAAAGACATTAAAGACACTACAGCGAGGAGAGCGCTTTCACACAACACAACTGCGACCGCTGCCCACACTCACAGACGCACTCATACGAACCTACAGGCCTAGAAGCTCAGGGTGGAGGCTGTGGATACCATTTAAACTGGAAATGAATGAGCTGCTCGCTGGATTCACGATTGTCAACTGGTCGACTGATCAGAAAGCTGGAATGCCATGTTAAAAATGTTGAATTCCATGTGGAATCAGATGGGACAAGTGATACAATCCAATAACCTCAGCTCGCCATATTATCGGACGCTTGAGGATACATGATGTGCCAATTGAAAAGTTGATTCTGCGCAAGCGAATAGGCAACAATATTCGCACAATGTATCACTGAATAGATATAAATTGTACATACTCGCCTGGTGCCCTATGGTGTACTTTTGCACATGTATTCCAATGTTGTTTTACTGCAAATGGCAAATAAACTGAATCTGACTTGGTCGATCAGAAAACAACAACACAATCCAACAGTGCTACATCGTTTCTACTTCTGGCATAATGAATCTAAGTTTAATAAGCAGTTCCTGGGATTAGTTTGAAGTTAGCTATGTTTTAGCTTGTTGTTAGTCAGACAGACCATGAGTGACACATCTTCGCTGTTGTGTGTGCATAAATAAGTCAAAGTAAACCAAAATCAAAATCCCTTTATGTGGGTCATGTTACCTGGCTATGACAAACAGCACACAACTGACACCCAAGTAAGCCAGCAGAATATACATCCAGATATCGGGCGATAGGGGGTTGAGGAAGGAGAAGACGCCGGGGTTGGTCCCGTTTGGCTTTCGGTACAGAATACTTATCCCCAGCGTCATGAAGGGCTTGGAGAAGTCGATCACCTTCTCGCGAATGTACGTGATGGACAGGGGAGCCACAGCCAGGTCAGCCCTCTGTAAGAAAAAAAAAACATGACGAGAGAGGAAAGAGGCCATTAGTTACAAAAGTGTCACTGGGTGGGAAAAGTGAACTCCACTGTGTGAAAAGGCTGTCACTCGTTTGTTTAAAATAATCAATAGTAAGCCAATATGAGTTGCATTTACAGTGCCTTGCGAAAGTATTCGGCCCCCTTGAACCTTTCAACATTTCGCCACATTTCAGGCTTCAAACATAAAGATATAAAATTTTAATTTTTTGTCATGAATCAACAACAAGTGGGACACAATCGTGAAGTGGAACAAAATTTATTGGATAATTTAAACTTTTTTAACAAATAAAAAACTGAAAAGTGGAGCGTGTAATATTATTTAGCCCCTTTACTTTCAGTGCAGCAAACTCACTCCAGAAGTTCAGTGAGGATCTTTGAATGATCCAATGTTGTCCTAAATGACTGATGATGATAAATAGAATGCACCTGTGTGTAATCAAGTCTCCGTATAAATGCACCTGCTCTTTGATAGTATCAGGGTTCTGTTTAAAGCGCAGAGAGAACCATGAAGACAAAGGAACACACCAGGCAGGTCCGAGATACTGTTGTGGAGAAGTTTAAAGCCGGATTTGGATACAAAAAGATTTCCCAAGCTTTAAACATCTCAAGGAGCACTGTGCAAGCAATTATATTGAAATGGAAGGAGTATCAGACCACTGCAAATCTACCAAGACCCGGCCGTCCCTCCAAACTTTCATCTCAAACAAGGAGAAGACTGATCAGAGATGCAGCCAAGAGGCCCATGATCACTCTGGATGAACTGCAGATAACTACAGCTGAGGTGGGGATGGTGTGTACAGGGTGATGAGCTGTGTTGCTTTTACGCCAAACATATCGTTTTGCATTGTGGCCAAAAAGTTTGATTTTGGTTTCAATCTGACCAAGCACCTTCTTCCCACATGTTTGGTGTGTCTCCCAGGTGGCTTGTGGCAAACTTTAAACAGACTTTTTATGGATATCTTTGAGAAATGGCTTTCTTCTTGCCACTCTTCCATAAAGGCCAGATTTGTGCAGTGCACGACTGATTGTTGTCCTATGGACAGACTCTCCCACCTCAGCTGTGGTTATCTGCAGTTCATCCAGAGTGATCATGGGCCTCTTGGCTGCATCTCTGATCATCTTCTCCTTGTTTGAGATGAAAGTTTTGGAGGGACGGCCGGGTCTTGGTAGATTTGCAGTGGTCTGATACTCCTTCCATTTCAATATAATTGCTTGCACAGTGCTCCTTGAGATGTTTAAAGCTTGGGAAATCTTTTTGTATCCAAATCCGGCTTTAAACTTCTCCACAACAGTATCTCGGACCTGCCTGGTGTGTTCCTTTGTCTTCATGGTTCTCTCTGTGCTTTAAACAGAACCCTGAGACTATCAAAGAGCAGGTGCATTTATACTTGATTACACACAGGTGCATTCTATTTATCATCATCAGTCATTTAGGACAACATTGGATCATTCAAAGATCCTCACTGAACTTCTGGAGTGAGTTTGCTGCACTGAAAGTAAAGGGCCGAAATAATATTGCACGCCCCACTTTTCAGTTTTTTATTTGTTAAAAAAGTTTAAATTATCCAATAAATTTTGTTCCACTTCACGATTGTGTCCCACTTGTTGTTGATTCATGACAAAAAATAAAATTTTTATATCTTTATGTTTGAAGCCTGAAATGTGGCGAAATGTTGAAAGGTTCGAGGGGGCCGAATACTTTCGCAAGGCACTGTATATCAGAAAGAGGTTGCTGGTTTGCTGCACAAGTCTGTTTAGAAGTATTGCCCAGGTGCTCTTCTGGTTGGGGATCAGGAAAGTCTTTGGAAAGGATAGAGTGCCTTCTCCCCCCAACTTTATAAAGGATTTTCCATAGAAACACTTTGCAGACCAGGAGTGTCTAAACCTTTTAGTAAGAGGGCCGCTTTAGTTAACCATGCTCGTCCAGGGGCCAACAACGTACAACTGTTTTGACTGGATTTGGGATGTTCTGGGTCTTAAAATGGGTTTCAAAAGGATATGATATGCCACCACCACCATTCAACATTAGTGCCATATGGGATTTTGTGACGCAATCAACAACAAATGTCAGTACATAGAAAATAAAGTTAGTGACTGGATTCCAAAAGGTTCTTAACATATAGCATGACTTTATGTGTGGATCTGAAGGTGGCCGGATGACACTGTGAAAGTACCTCAATGGCTACTTTGGCCTTAGTTTGGCCTTTAGAGAATGTGATATCCCAAAGGCTTTAAGAAGAACAAGTCAGGCATATTCTTTCATCTTAAAAGAAGACACGAACATACATTTTTCTAAATATAGCTATGATTGAATGGTAAAAAAAAAGATTTAAGATGACTCCACTGACGTCCATATTGAAAGGCCATTTTCCCCTGCTACATCACTGCAAATGTCATCACAACAAAGTGCACGAGGATAGTCAATATTATACAGGAGAGATACAGCTGAGAAGAGAAAAAACGGGAAAAAAGAGACGGCCATCATTCACAGACAGAGGAAGCATTTAGAGCCAATCAAATTAAGAGAACAGCGTCTTTAAACACTGCTGTGCCTGTCCGGGGCCACTTAGCTGAAATTTAATGCTTCACCGTTTCAGCCGATATCCACAAAGGGCTTTTTCTGTAGACGTGTCTCTGTGAATTATATTTAGACTGTCTTGTAAGGTACTGGGAATACAGTCAATATGGCCCAAGTAAGTGGAATTTTGATCTACTCCCAAGTACTGAATGATTATAGTGGATGTCAAATTATTAAAAGGAGACATTATGTAAAACATGACTTTTCACAGCTGTTGAAGTGGTTTTACCATCTTACTTACACAATCAAAGTTGTCTTTAGAGTGATTAATGCATGTTTGAGGGAGTTTAAATTGGTTTACATGCAGGAAAAGATTGCGCCCCTCTACTCCAATACCCATGACCACTAAACCTATCCCTTGCTTTTTACTTGACTTTGTTCGTCAATTTTCTTTTTGGTATTGGCCGACTGGCATAGTCATTATAGCTTAAAGAAACTAAGAATGTCCATTGCACTTGGACGTGACCGAGTTTCACTATCATTGCGTTAGGGGGCGATCAAAAAAATTCCAACAATTTTCAAAGATAGGAATTAATGACAATTTAAGGATATTTAAGTGAATAATCTGGAATAAACAGGGCATTTTGAACAGAAAACTTCAAAATAGGAAAGTATTTCTGCATAATCTTAAAACAAACCGATGCAAACAGATTGCATGCAAATGCACATTTCTTTCTGTATGGCTATTGAGACCAAGCCCTCTACTGGCACTGTGCGTGCCTCTATCACATGTACAGAACAATTCTAGAATGGATGGATGGATAGAATTAATACAATATTTTGGAAGCGGAGAGCTTGTAAAAAAGGACTTATTATAAAGGTGAAAAAAGCTTTATGTCTGAGTTTCATTTAGTTTGACGGTTTAAAGCCCTACAATATGGCTTTGTAGTATAGGACAGAATATGTATTGTTATTATCCATTGACAAAATCTTTAGAAAAATATGCTTTGAGGGACACAAACTTATCACAGAGCGAGTCGTGTGCAGCCAATTCATCCCAGAGTGATGTATGGCAACCTTCAACGGACAAAAAGGATATATCTGTGAGAGATGCGGCACTCGACCTTGTTGTGAGTGTTTAGCATTTATAGTCGCAAACACATTTTTAGATTTATTAAAGTGTCAGAACAGAACGCGCTTTTGGGCCCAGATACGGAGGCGTGATGCTCTGTGCTCGCGTTCAAAAGTCTATCTGTGCCGCACACGTTTTCAATACGAGCTCGTCGTGACTTCACAAAAATAGGATTAGGATGAGAAATAGCTCCAAACAATATGGTTATTTGTAAGGCATATGGCTCTAAATGCAAACATTTATTCACACAGGTAATGCCGTTTGCACCGAGCCCAGAACATCGGACTTATTATTAGTGTAAATGATGTGGCGCTGCAACATATTTAACAGAAGAAAACCAAAAAAGGTACATTAAGCCAGAAAATTGGAAGATTGAGAATTATGTTACATACATTTAAAAACTTGCTCTTTGGTTTGGCTACCCGGAGTTTGATGTTGGTTTATTCTAGCATGTTTGTAATATCCTAACTGTGCACAACAAGATGAATTCATATTTGTCCATTTACAAAGTCTTGAAAACTCATCTTGTTGGTTTCCAGCTTATCCAATAGGGAAATGTTCTCCAACCCTTTTGGCAAACCTTTTTTTATTGAAAACAATTGAAAACACCACAAACTGAAACTGATACCAAAATGAAGGTCTACAGCCTTTAATGATGAAAAATCATTCTTATCAACTTGTACAATAAATAATCCTTTTACAATTCTCGGGTCAAATTTACCTGCCACAGAGATTACAAAATACCCTAAAACATATTTTTTATTAATATATATCTGAATTTTTATAACGTTTCCTAACTTGACCAGCCCTGGGTCATTTAAATGGAAGGTATTTTTCTACTTTGAATAATTGTTTCTGGGTCATTTTGACCCAAGGGTAGCACAAGTACAAAAAAAGTATTTCTAATCTTACGCAGTAACTGAGTTGTAGAAGATACTTGCCATCAGTCACATGATAAAAAAATTATCATATTAGACCATAAATTAAAACTGAGGAGCCTAACTTCTATTTTATCATAAAAAATACATGTTTTTAGTCTCAACAGAAAGAGTTACTGAGTGAGGGTGGTTCTCTCTTTCCTTGTCTGAAAAATCTGAGGTAAAGATGTGAAAGAGGCCAAAAGTACATGCAAGTGAACACCAGTGATAACTTTTTGTGTGGTTACATTTATTTTGGTTTAAAAGTTAGCTTTAATTCGTGAAATGGCCATTTGCTTGTTATTCTCTTAAATCTAATATTTTTCAAGAACCCTTTTTATATTGTATGTAAAAAGCTTAAGATTAGACCGGCTTTATGAAAAATTATTGCTAAAGTAAGGACCTTCCCTGAATCCATACATGTTAGGTAAAAAACACATATCCACAAATGGGAAGTGAAGCAGTTCTTTTGATGAGTTCTATCACCGACGGTCCGGGCGGTGGATACTTTTCTTTTTGGCTAAATTAGTTTGGATAAGATTCCCTCCCTATCAGACAGGCTGCAGATCACTTCAGTAAACTCTTCTGACAGCACATATCCACCAAGTGCAACTTCATTCACACTTTAAACTCCCTCAAACTGGTCTGCTCTGGTCGCGGCTGCAAAGAATCAGCACTGAGAGAAATGGGCAAACGTTCTGAGACCAGAGATCTGGGGTTTGTTGAACAGAGTTTTGATCACTGTGTTTGATGGAACGTGTCTCATCAGATATCGTTTACTGGTTTGTATGTTTTTTCTAGACGCATTTTTTTAAATATTGTGGGAAAACGTCCCTCAACCCTAAAAGTAGTCAAGTTATCATGTGTTTTCAAATAGTAATGGAATTGACCAGATGCCTAGAGTCTCCAAAAATTAATACAAAATATTTTCAAGCGGACCGAAAAAAAATAAACCAATGGGATTTGTTCATCCCCAAGGAACCAATAGGAAGTGTTTACCCCCTTCACCCTCTTCCTGTTTCTCGCGAGTGTACGAACCTGAGTTATTGGATTTTCTAAAACCATAAAGGGTTGAACAGAAAATGCTAATTTCACGTTTGCCACCCACTCTCCCTGTTGTGACAAAGAAAAGAAAATGCTGGATGTTTGGTTTGGTGGAGAGGCGAGGGGGGGGGGAGTGGTTTTGAGTTGGTGCTACGGCTAAGCTAACAAAATTGTTTACTGCACCTTTAAGTGATCCTGAAGTGTCCTGAATTCAAGTCTTCAGTTTCAGCTTCTCTTCGAGATTATTTTTGATACAATAATAAAAATCTGGTAAAAAAAAATATATATATGCATATATATACTGTATACATCTTATATTTGGCATGCGAAAAACACAAACTAAATGCACAACTACACTATGAAAGGCCTCTGGTTTGGAAATTTGGAAAAGAAAAAAAGTCACTCAGGGCAATATTATGATACATTGTGATACATTGTGATACATTCACACATTCACAAAATGTTTGTCACAGTTAATTAGTACGAAAAAATAAAATCTTTGTTTAATGTGTGTGCTGTGCTTTGATATATTTGTATGGTATTCTTACATGGTCCATGAGCTCCTTGACCATGCCGTTCCACTGTCCAGTGTTATCATCCGGAGCGCCATACTTCCCATCCTCCACCAGGCGGATCTCATAGTTAAAGCCCAATATGGCCGCCAGCTCTCGCAGCAGGTCGATGCAGTACCCCTCGAAGCGGTCGTTCCCGAACAGCGGCTTGTCCGACTTCTTAAACATCACGTACGGCTCCTCCTGGTGGGCACACGCAAGCACAACAGCTTAAAGTATTTGTTGTCAAAGAACAAGAATCATCAACTCTATAACAGCGGCAAAGCCATGAAAACAGGGTGAAGAATGGACAGAACCCTTCATCCGTGTATATTCACTTATTTAGTGATTAGTAACTTTCATCACTCGATGACGTTGACATTTTGAATCCGTTACATTTGAATGTGCTGGAAACGACAGCAAGTCCTTAGTACCTCTGAAACAGTTGTTGTTTTGTGCTTTACACTTAATGTTATTTTTCTTGCTTTTTTACCTGAGATGTTGCTGCAGTACAGTGTTTGTGGTTTTGCACTGGTTCAGACCGGAGCAGAGAGGATTTATGGACAGAACCAAGCTGATCAGGCAAAAATCCACCGGAGCATTCATCCTCTCACTTTGGACAAGAGCAGAGAAAATGGTCCGAACCAAGGGGCTACTCCACCTCTGCGGCTGTGACCTGTACTACTCCACCTCTGCTGCGGAGACCTGAAGTACTGTTGCATTCTAATCCTAGAAATCCTAGTTAGCTACTTTTAGAATGATTTGTTTATTGTTTTTTGTTTGTATGGATGGATGTGTTTCTGCTGCTATTGGATATCTGAATATCTGAATATCAATCCATCTATTTACTAACATTTAGTGAGAAGTAACCGGCAGCAGCTAAAAACATGCTCGTTAGTCACTATAAACGTCTTGTTTCGTGGCATAACGTCTGAGGAGTGAAGTGCAACGTGACCATAATACCAGATAATCCCGTATCAGTGACTGCGGAGCTTGGGGGTCTGGCTCTGGGCCCGCGCTCTGCTCCAAAGACCCCAGCGCTTTTGTCCGGGAGATAAGAGCTGTGATAGACCAGCACAAAGGCAGCAGTGGATGGGGCCCTACACCGCTCTGCTTGGGCTAACAGCTGTGGAGATTACTAATGTCTTCTTTCATATGGCATCCTGTCTCTGTCGCACTGGCACTTCCTCATCCTATGCTCCTATCTACCATCTGTCTTTGTTAGCTTTAGCGCCGGATTCGAGCCACAGATTCCTACCCCGCCTCTCACGCTCCTCAAATAAAATCCAAAATATATCATAACGCAGGTGTTGTTTATGGTAGCGCGGTGCCAGGGTGGAAACAAAGAAATCATTACGGATAGCTAACAGCCCCGACATGTTCAGGCTTGGGAGAATGGCGATTGCAGCAGATTGGGCATTTAAAAAGAGCTGGTAGGGCGCTGATTCCTGAATCATGTGTTGGAGATGTCAGAGCTATTGGGTAAATGGTTCAAACTAGTACATACGTGAAAAACTGTTTGTGTAATTATAATGTTGTACTTTATAGCAAATGTTTTTTGCACATCGCATTGGGAGTTAAGGGCTAAGAGAAAGTGCTCTAAACCGTTATTACAATGGCCATGGAGCACTGTAGGTCGGAATGCAGGCGTGCTGGAGTTTCCGCAAAGAATAGTTTTCTTCAAACCGGTCGTGGCTAATACCAAACAGAAACAGGTGTCTTCCTGCCCTTTTGGAAAGTTTTACATGTTCCAACTTGATAGAAAATGCACAAAAGTTGAAGTCAGTGGACGCCAGACATCAAGAGACGTCTCTGCATTATTTGGGGTGGCTTAATGACGTATGTATGTATGTATCGTCCGGCTGTGGCAGCCGTTTGGAAGTTCACACACAATTCACACCACCATAAGTGAAATGGGCATCTCAAGCAGAAACTTCCTCCATAATGACTTTTTGAGTGCAGGTACTTTCTTCCCTTTCACTCAGGTTGTTTCTTAAGATAGGCAATGTATTGGGCTTTAGTTAGAAACACTGCTTTGACTGTAATTATCATTATTATTATTATTATTATTATTATGAGGGTAACCAACTGTGAATTCCACTGTGGCCTGCAAAATTGTTTTTATATGTATATCTTTTGACAAACAGCACTGAAGTGATATTCATTCATCTTAATACACCTGTCAGACATCAGCTATTCCTATCACCTGATGGTTTTCAAAGAGACCACTCTTGATGATGCCCATGACTTGCTTCTTCTTGACTGTTTCTTGGAGGTGTATGATATAACGCTTTGTAATTAGCAGATCTACCCCTGGCAGATCAGACTGGGCCTAAGGAATGTACAGGTTCAACTCTCACCCTGCCCCAAACGTCCATGAAAGTGCACATTTAAAGATAATCTCACACACTTTAATGTGATGAATAAATTCCCATAAGGCCACAACTTTATCAATAACACTTAATCAAATTGTTTTGAAAGTAAAATTGAAAAACTTGCTCACTGAAGCTATGTCTTAAATTTGACTGCTCTTATAGGTCACCCGGTCCACAAATCTAAATGACAATTCAGAAAGCACGGCCTCCACTGCAAGGGCAGCATAAGTTAACAGAAAATTTGATCATCAATTTCCCCGCTACACAAGTCCTTCCTGCTCAAATGGTTTCCTTCAATTTCCATACGTTACCGAGGCGGTGGTCACCTTGGTTTAGCGTAATGCACAGCGTGGCACCCGCGGGTGGCTTATCACTGCTGACACAGCTCCTTGGCATGTCCACCAGCGTGTTAGCCTTAGCGAGGCTCCTGATGTAATCTCCACGAAAGAGCAGAAAGCAATGTCAACACGCCAATCGATATGAGAGAGGATGGGATGTCAACACAGAGTCCACAGTGTGAGCCAAGGGCCGGAGTAAAAATAGTCTGAATAAGGCCCGATAGGAAACAGCAAGAACAGATACATAGCTATAAGTTTATACATAGTAACAGTATTTTACATAGTAAACGCCAGCTGGAGAAGTAACGTAAGTAGGCTTCATATTGTTTTAGTAATCTAGAGATTAAAAAGAGAGATTTTAGAGTAAAGGTTTATCTTGGGTACCTAATTTATTCATAGAGCGTAATCTTAATTATACATACAGCAACTGTTGTAATAATGTAATCAAAATTCAAATCCAGCATCTTTCAGAATTTTTCATTTACAGTGACCTATAATGCTGAATAAAGAATAATGTTTAAAAGGTAAAAGCCAAAGTTATTTTTATATATTAGGCCCTTTAAGTGAAATGCATTTTTGAGAGTTTTGTGAAACTGCACACTCTATCTTGGCTGGAGGTCCTGAGTGGATGCCTGCCTGTCTAGTTTGTGTGCGTTCTGGCCCTGTTGTGACGCAGTGCCATGTTCACCAGCTGGACAATAGAACTCAGACGCAATGAACACAAAGCCGCTCGTCAGAACATTGGCGGCGCAAGACCTTTCACCCCATCAGCCGCCACAGAGGGTAATTATAATAAACACAGGGCGAGCGCATTACCAACAGAGAGAAAGGAAATCAGGGCCGTTTGGGACTGGAGGACATACCACTTTGAGGAAAGAAGAGTTCACTATGCATATACATCATTTTTGCTATTCTAATTACTTATTGTTTCTTTTGAATGTTCTGGTTGCAAAAATCCATAATTTCTTGTTAAGATTAGGGCTGGGTTTCTTTCATGCAATGTTAATACTCATGACACAATGTGATTTGATACCATTTCAAATCAATTCCATAAGGCCCCTTACCTAATGCTCCACCCCATTTGAACAAAACTACAACACTATTGTTGCATTTATCTTCTATGTATTGAAGCAATATGTGTATGTCTGACCATCTCTAATTCAAAAATAACAACATAAAAATGCAATACATAAACAATCTAAATAAAATGTAAAAAAAATATTCATAATAATTGTTTTAATTGTATCTAAAAATTCTTTTTGTGATAAAATACTTTCGTTCTGTGAGTGACTCAATGCTTTTGGAAGTGCTATGAAACTTTACACAAGATGGATTTTTATCAAGAATTATTGTTAGACAGCCAGGTCACTGCATGGGTCCTGGTGTCAATACTGTAGCTCATGTAGAAATTCTGCTACTTTGTGTCTGAGTGGAACTGGTAAGTCTCTTTCGGTCTGAGCTAACTTTGTAATGTTGATACTAATGTTTATCCTATCCATTAATCAACTCACAATTCATACTGTACTTGTTTGTCATAACACAATGTATACTCTACTTGTTTGTCCGTTTCACACTTACATGGCATCTACATGCTATCACAAAAAACATTGTGTCCTTTGGCTTACATTAAGTTGTCACAATTGGGATTCTGAGGGTTTATTCATATAGTTTGCTGAATTGTTCAATTATAGCAATGTGTGTACTTAGTAGTTGTAAGTACACACCAAAGAATTCAGCCTCTCTTGGAAAGGTCTTATTTACAACAATTCATCAGAGATATAACGTGGACTCTTAATGCACCTTTGCACCCCCCTGAAGCAAAAACCCTTCCTTTTTTCTCCCTGTGTTGGCTTGCCACGCATTATCGATTTCCCAGCATGCACTGTTGTGAGGAAATAGTCTCGCATGACAAACCTTTTTCACAACATCCGTTTTTTTAATCTATGTGCGCAATTGTAACTTGTGCATTGTCTCCACGACACATGGGCAAGCACTCCACAATGAAACTACTGCCCAACAACTGGATAATTTGCTTTGTTCTGCACCGGGCCGGTCGATGAAACGAAAATAAATGTTTTAAAATGACTCGAATAAGGCACTGTCGTTTGTTTTTTAGAGCGGGCAGGAAATCTATTCTTTTTAATTTGGTGAAGAAGGATGGAGTTGATTTTGTGTTTACTCGGAGAAGGGATGTGCCATAGTCTTAATTAGGTTTGCTTTACGGAGATAGTCGGACGCAGCTCCTTCTCACTGCTTTTTAATTAAAGATGCGCAGGGTATGGAGAGGAAAGGAGAGCGATGGGAAGAAGAGAAGACACTTAAATGAAAGTGTGCCAATCCTGCTGACTCAAAGGCTGCGTCTGTTTGGGCCAGTAGCCGCTATAATCAGGGTAATTGTGGTCCGAACTCGGATCTGGAGTCAGAAGGTTATCTGTTGATTTCAAAACATGCCCCTGTTTACTGCAAATAAAACATGACTCTGCCTAAGATA